CGGGCTGGTCCTGCTCTGAGCCAGGCTCGCCACAACCCACATCAGTCGGAGACCTGGGGTTTTTTTGGGGGTTTTTGGTTTAATTTCTTTTTTTTCCCCCATGGATATTTGGGGATGTTCCTGCTCACTGCTGTTTTGCTTCTTCCTTCATGTATGTAGCAGTCAGAAAGATGGGGCAGACTTCCAGGAGTAATCGCTTGCCTTTTTTCTTGAGTTGTCTTGAGTTTCCCAGGCTGATGCTTGGCTTTTTCTGGATAGCGCTGGCCTCTGGCATCATTACTGATCCCAAAGCTCCCGGGCACAGCGTTGCTACTCTCCATCTCTTAGCTGTGGCACACGTTTAGCCGAGTGCCTGCTGTCACCGCTGCGGAGGGTCAAAGTGGAGCACAGAGTTTACGCGGAGCTTGCAGGCTGGAGTACACATTTTTTGTGGTGATTAAACTTCTGCCTTGAGTGCCTCGGCGTCTCTGCATGGGAAGGTCTGCGGTCGTTTGAGATAGGCTTCTCTTCCTGTGTTTTTTAGCTCCATTCTGTCAGTATTTCTGTCCTTCTCGAGACCTGTGACGTTTTTTTCTTTCTATTCTAGTTTCTCTACAGGTAGCAGTGTCTTACTTCCCTTTGCACTCACCAGACCTCATCGCTGCTGCTTCCCATCTTTGCAATTTCTTTAGTAAGTGATTAAGTAGATAACGATGATACTTCTGTATTGGAATTGGGCTTTTCACGTGCTCCTCCAGTTCGGTTAGTTGGGAACGGGAGAATGAAACACTCCTGGCTTCGCGCTGTCTGCAGGGTTGGAAGGACAGCCTTGCATCCGTAGGCTGAGCCTACGGCTAGGCGCAAAGCCTAGGATTGCAAAACCTAAAAAATCTTTCTGGATTTTTGCTGAACAATCTGCACATCGTGTGTCCCGCAAATTCCCTGACATCTGCTTGGCAAGCCGCGGTACGCATCTTTTTCTAGAAAGTGGCTCGGAAGAACTGAGGGATTTCTGTTTTCATCTTTAATCTAGAAAGCCTTCTGCAAGTTGCTTTCACAGATCTATTTAAAGGAAGACAAAAGTGTGAAGCTGCCCACCAAGAGGATTCTAGATTTTATTTTCTTTTTTACCGACTGGCTCTGGATTGAGTCTCTTTAAATAAAGGTCTCTCTTCTCTGAGCAGCTGCCTCATTTGCTCCTGTTCTGAAAGTAGCATCACTTCAGAGACTTCTCGGAGCGAAGGAGCCTCTTTCAAGGGCTCAGGGCTTTTTCCGCCCCTTCCCTCAGTGCTGTGGTATTGTTTGGCTGAAGTGTCCCTTCCTTTCCAGCAACCTTTAATTTTTCTGCAGAGGGGTTGGTTCTGAGGTTACCTCAATTCTCTTCCCAAGGGAAATTCAGACTAAAAAAAAAAAGTCAACTTTCCTGTCCTTGTTTTGTTGTAAACCTGCTTGCACTCTGGGAAGAAGGAAAAAAAAGAAGTAACCATGCCTTTTGCATGCGGCCCGGATTGTGGGAT